ATAAGTATTTGGGCACCTCAAACAAGGAAAGTCTCTGGCTCTCACAGACCTGTAACGTCTTCTGTAAGAAGCTTTTCTGTCCCCCACTCGTTACCTGTATGAATGGCACCTGTTTGAACTCATCATCTGTATAAAAGACACCTGTCCACAGCCTCAAACAGTCAGACTCCAAACTCCGCCATGGCCAAGACCAAAGAGCTTTCAAAGGACACCAGGAAAAGTATTGTAGACCTGCACCAGACTGGGAAGAGTGAATCTACAATAGGCAAGCAGCTTGGTGTGAAAAAATCAACTGTGGGAGCAATCATCAGAAAATGGAAGACATACAAGACCACTGATAATCTCCCTCGATCTGGGGCTCCATGCAAGATCTCATCCCGTGGGGTCAAAATGATCATGAGAACGGTGAGCAAAGATCCCAGAACCACACGGGGGGACCTGGTGAATGACCTGCAGAGAGCTGGGACCAAAGTAACAAAGGTCACCATCAGTAACACACTACAACGGCAGGGAATCAAATCCCGCAGTGCCAGACGTGTTCCGCTGCTGAAGCCAGTGCATGTCCAGGCCCGTCTGAAGTTTGCCAGAGAGCACATGGATGATACAGCAGAGGATTGGGAGAATGTCATGTGGTCAGATGAAACCAAAGTAGAACTTTTTGGTATAAACTCAACTCGTCGTGTTTGGAGGAAGAAGAATACTGAGTTGCATCCCAAGAACACCATACCTACTGTGAAGCATGGGGGTGGAAACATCATGCTATGGGGCTGTTTTTCTGCCAAGGGGACAGGACGACTGATCCGTGTTAAGGACAGAATGAATGGGGCCATGTATCGTGAGATTTTGAGCCAAAACCTCCTTCCATCAGTGAGAACTTTGAAGATGAAACGAGGCTGGGTCTTCCAACATGACAATGATCCAAAACACACCGCCCGGGCAACAAAGGAGTGGCTCCGTAAGAAGCATTTGAAAGTCCTGGAGTGGCCTAGCCAGTCTCCAGACCTCAACCCCATAGAAAATCTGTGGCGGGAGTCGAAAGTCCGTGTTGCTCGGCGACAGCCCCAAAACATCACTGCTCTCGAGAAGATCTGCATGGAGGAATGGGCCAAAATACCAGCTACTGTGTGTGCAAACCTGGTAAAGACCTATAGTAAACGTTTGACCTCTGTTATTGCCAACAAAGGTTATGTTACAAAGTATTGAGTTGTATTTTTGTTATTGACCAAATACTTATTTTCCACCCTGATTTACGAATAAATTCTTTACAAATCCTACCATGTGGATTCATGGATTTTTTTTTTCACATTCTGTCTCTCACAGTTGAAGTGTACCTCTGGTGCAAATTACTGACCTCTGTCATCATTTTAAGTGGGGGAACTTGCACAATCGGTGGCTGACTAAATACTTTTTTGCCCCACTGTATGTACATAAAATATACATTACAAGGTGTAGTATTTTCCTCCAGTAGACAAACCAAAAACATCTTTTTATGTTGTTTGTGTTATTGTAAATTTAAGGTTGTACATTAAGTTGTACTTGTTTTACTGGACAAACATGAGGACTTTTGCATTAAATGTTGCCCTTTAGTACAAATGATTGTCAACAAAATTTAATACTATGAATGTGGGAAATAATACTGCTTTACCACCAGACTCTCCGCACCTAAAAGGCATGTATATTATGGATAATGCATATACATATATATATGTGTGTGTGTGCATACACATGGGGAATACTTTTATATACAGGTAAACAGCTATAGTAAAAATGTAGGTTTTCAGGAAACTCTGTAAGTATTTGGAGCAAAGGTGTTTTTACAACCAATCAACATATTACCTTAACAAAAAAACTGGTCAAATCATAGAATATTGTCTGAACCTCTGATTAGTGTCTTAAACATGTGCACTTTTCTTCCCGCTATTCCCCCCCTTTCCTTCTGATTCTAGAGAATAACAGTCTTAAAAAGATGTAATAATTAAGAGTTTAACGGTGGCCAGATCTAACTTGGACACATTCCTGAACCAACGTGAAACAGACAGAGGAAGAAGTTCAAATATGGCAAGTTGGGAAGACCCAAGGTTGGGAGTCATAAAATCTAAAAATCATACTCACCTTTCAACACCACTGATACTTAATCTAGTGCAAATCTTCAGTTCACCATCAAGCGTAAATAAGATTAAAAAAGAAATAAAAGATGAACTGTGTAGAGTCACTTTCTGAAACCAGTTGTTCCTGCTTCATACACCTGTGAGTGTGGCATCTCACAGCCGTTACAATGTAAACAGGTCAGATGCAAATCAGTGACTACTGTGACTGCTGTAAATTTAAGGAAGTGGTTTACAAAGAAGGAATATATGACTAGTGCAAATGTTTTATTTCAAATAATTAAACTTCTATGAGTTTGTCACCTGAGCAGTTGCTTTTCATTGGAAAAAATGACAAAACATGATGGACTTCTTTCTCGATTGTAACTAAAAATGTTTCCTCATCTTTTCTGATCATCAGTGATACCTGGGATCCTGTTCAACAAGTTTTTCTGTCTCACTATGACGCAGAAGTCTGGCCCCTGCACAAAAAAATCTCCATGAATTTCTTTAACACTGTTTAGACACACCCAACACAGACAAACGGAGTAAAGATCATGGCTGATAACTGATCATTTTTTATACCAGAGCTTGATTGTGCGTTAGTAACTAAAGAACTATGTTTTGCACCTGAGCAAAATCTCTTATAATTGTTATAATTTGATTACTGAGAGTATCTAATTTCCAAAAGTAGCAGCCAGTTATTTACCTGTGTTCTTGTGTGTGCAGCCACATTTTAAACAGGGCTCTCTGAGAAGATCGAAGGTAACAAATGTGTCAATTTGTTTCTTGTTAAGATTTAGTATAAATGTTCTTTGAAAATAGCAAAACACATAAAATGAAAACTATGCAGCACAATAAAATATACACTACATGAAATACAACAAAAAAATACACGAGAACAAGAGAAAAAGATTACAAATGAGACACGGTACACTGAAAAAAATCTACACTACAAACCTAACTTTTATATTTCAATTTTACTTTCTTTTTTAATTTTACTGTGTTTCAGGTTTATGTGGTCGTACTGTACTCACTTATGTGCTCACAGACATACATTTTTTAACTGCACTTTACAATGACATAGGCAAATATGTAATACAGTTTTTATTCATTTTTTAGCACTAAATCACAACAGCAGTCACCTCAATGTTCTTTATATTGTATATTGAAAACCATCAACAAACGAGCAGTCCCCTGTGAGCAAGCACTTGGGGAGGGTGAGAAGGAAAAACTCTCTTTTAGCTGAAAGAAACTTTTGTCAGAACGAGGCTCAGGGAGGGGCAGCTATCTGCCCCAATTGGTTGGGGTGAGGGTAAGGAGACAAGACAAAGACACACTGTAGACGTGTGTCTTTGTCTTAGATAATGATTAGATATAATTGTTTTATAAGCTGTAGTTGTTTTAGAAGTAATGTAGGCCGGGTTTAATACTTAACATCTCAATTTTTACTGATTTCACTAGAAACTGCACGTATGTTGTCACTGTCAAATTGAGTACACAATATTAAAACGAGTCAAGTGAATAACACTCTTAACAAATGAAATGGCAAGCAGATTATCTGCTGAGAGGCACACCTGCTGCAGGCCTTTCTGACTCTGTGGTGCACTTTGCACTTTCTTTGGAATAGTCTGCTAGGGCAGCTGCTTCTAAAAGGATGACAGAAAATAAATAATCAACACTGTGCACCCTAGAACCAGGGCAGTATTAAATACGGTGTCCTCCTTGTTAGAGGAGGATGCCTGTATAGGACACTGAGTAAAAACTGAGCAGCTCCTTCAATAACGGGCTGCTTCACAAAAACGCACAGCTTAGGTCCGGCTCCATGAGCACCACTGCTCCCATTTGTCCACACAGACAGGATTGAAATATGTCACTGATGTGCAGTTTTATTGTTGTGTAACGTCACATGTCGTCAAATGTATTTACACTTCTGTTCTTTCAACTATAACATGCATTTTCTCCATTACTGCATTTTGAACAACCCAAGTCATCTACTGCCAACATCCCCTAAGCATGTTATGTCCATGCTTTAAAGACTCAAAGCTGTTTTTACTGAACACGGTTCTAGATAGGTGATAATATGGATAATCAGTGTATAATAAACCAATTTATGCATATTATTAGATATCTAAGTGAGTTTGGGGTTTCTACAAAGTTCATATGAAACATGGTTTGTTGGAAAGTTATGAAATTTTAAAAAATCACTTCTGTGCCAAGTTTCATCAACTGACTGCAGTCAGATGTTCCTCTGTGTTCAAACCTGTTAAACAAGCAACTTCACATTTCTTGTAGTTGGTTGCAACATAACCAAGCCAATTATGGTAACTGACTAAAACAAAGGACAGTTGTAATAAAACAAGGAACTTTCTGCATTTTCCCAGCCACTCCTCTCACATGGCTGTGCCACAGCTAATAATAACACATTTCTCATGTATTTGTTTGTGGAGCGGATCCTTTCTTTATCATTTCATCCACCATGCAGAAAATATCATGAATTATGATCAGTGACACAGTCACACCTACCTTTATCAAGTTTTTCATACAAACTGCGTGATATGTGAAAGCTACTTGTTCATTGTTTAGGGTTCAGCTAAAGCCGCTTTAGCCTGCTATAAAAAAAAAAAGAATTAAAAAAAATATATCTTTTTAATTCATTTTTTAAATATAACTGTCTATTATTTAGTTATTAGGGAATACACAATGTAACCCAAATAATAAAAGATAATGAGTTATAAAATATTCATAAAATACAATATATGGTTAACTGATGTATTTTGTGTTGTTGTTGTTGTTACACAACCCAAACTGTATGTTACATTCCAAAACTACCTTTCCCATACACGTCCGCCCTCATCAGTATGGAAGCCGGTCAGTCCAAAACTGACGTTGTCATACTGGCTCGTCTGCCGCTGTTACTCTTAAAGGAGACGTACCTCATTCGAGGGTACTCCCGGTCAAACAAATATGAGGTATGCTATAGCTTTAAGAACTAAATAATACTGGATATTTCTAAAATAATATGCGTCATTAAACTTATATATTTTAAATAATCTATTTTGCTATTTATGCAGTGGCACAAAAATTGATCGTTGGCCAGGCTAACGAAACTTGGGCTGGCTCTGGCCTTGTATGGTGGGCCTTCATTGTGAACGCTCATAAGTAACTAGACTTAAGTAATCACTAAAGTCGGTAAAGGCTATAACTGTAAGAGCGAAATGGAGTCTGGGAAAGGCGAGGTTTCAGGCACTGGTCCTGGAACTCGGACCGCAGAGTCGACAGCGGCCTCAAAACCATCCGCGGACTCGAGTGAGCCCTCCTGCGGTAGAGCCAGAAGCAAAAGGCGGACAAAAACATCCTTGTTCTTCCCGGACTCCGGTGAGACTCGTTCCGTCACCTCAGGCTCTGTGCGTGTGTTACGATCAAGGGAAGCTGGAGCTGGTACGACCTGCGAGTCCAGAAATATCACATGCAAGAAAAAAGCGACCAGTTCAGGGGACGCACGCAGTCGACCTGCAGGATCACGCACCAGAAACACACCTGTCATACAGTAAGTGCGTGCGCTGCTACTTTGATGGACGAAACTATTTGAAGAAGCTAGACACATCCTTGACAACAAGTTTGTTTACACCTCAGAAGTGTTATTTCGGTGGGACTTCTTAAAACTGTGTATTTACTGCATACAAAAAATAAATAAAATAAAACTAAACCTTTAAATGTGTTGATTCTTAACTTTCTTTCTTGCAGAAGTGCAATAAAGAAACCAACAGCCAGTCGGGGTAATGCACATATGTGAATCCCGTTCATCTGCAAGCAGTCATTTTACCTTTTACCACTTAACAAGTGTGTTATTAACCCATGTTCACATTTATTTCCCCAGCATCCACAAAAACAATTGGACCAAAGCTTCCCAAAACTAGAAAAGGTGGGGGGAAACCTTCAACCAGAGCCTCACACACATCAGCAGCAACATGCAAGCTCGAAGCTGAGTCAGGGGCGTTTTCATGTGGTAAGAGAAGACCCCTTGCATCCTTTTTGTTGTGCACTTGTTGAACTGTGTGAATATCTTGAAATGAAAGTGCAAGCAACTCAAAATAAACTGACAGACGTGTGTGGTTTTTTTCAGTGAGGGACACTGGTTCTGTGAAAGAAAGCAATGGCAGGTGAGTGATAACTTATCAAAAGCACATCAGAGGGAACGAGGGAGGATGTTACCAGCGGTACTGTGAAATTCAACATGTCCAGTGTCGTGTTAATGTCCCTATTAGCGTTGCAGATCCAGATGTGGCTCTCAAGGAGGACCTTGCATTAAGAGATGATCCAAATGACCTTGTCAAAACTGAGACAAAGACGTACGTCGATTATGCTACCTGATCACCGATCGTGCAATTTACTTCACATCAGATTAAGCACATTAGTGGTAAAATTTGCTCTTTTTTCTTTATTTTTCCCCTCTGTTTAGGAATAAATCAAAGCGCCACACAACATCACAACACAATGAATTCAAGAAAGAAGAGTCAGAGAAGGAGGAAGAAGATTGTGGCATTAAAAAGGAAGAAACCACCAGGAATGTAGCTCAGGGTCAAGATGGAGTCACTGGCACTGATCCTGAGCCAGTCAGGAAGTAAGTAGGAGATGATAGTAAACCAAAAGATAATAGAGGGGGGGTTTTGCCCATGTGAGAATTTTTGGCACCTTGTTTTGGTCCCAAAAAAAAAAAAGAAAGTAAAGGAAAAATTACAAGAATTTATCAGCTGTGGTTCACTTACTAAGATATAGCATTTTTTACTTATCAAAAGGCCAATAAAGACAAATAAAGCACCCTGATTTCTGTCACATCAGTTAGCCGAGATATGAGTGTGAACACGCTTTTTAGTTCATTTGCTTTATTTTTGCTTTTGTTTGTTTTTTAAATCAAACACCCAAGCACATGCCTTTTTGTGTGAGACTGTGTGATCTGAAATGAAGACTCTTTAGCTTTTAAGAAAGTTTGAGTTAAAGAAAGTCCCAGCAGTAGAACTACACACTGAGTAGGGGTCTGGGGGTCATCCGACATTACGAATTTGAGTGTCGGACAGTTTGGTTTAGATTTTTAGATTGTACAGCTTTTATAGAATTATTCTCAGTTTTGCTTATTTAATAGCTTATAGGGTAATGAGCTGTAGCCAATTTTGCTTCAGTTGTTTGGGGCAGTAACCCGTTTTAAGTGTGTTTCACATTTGGCTTAATATTCTGGATTGGATTTTAAACCAATCTGAGTTTCAAGGGTCGGATGGATTTCAATCTAAACATTCAAATCATATCACACACACAGGTTGTTTTATTTTGTTGTTGTTGTTGTTTTTTGTTTAGAAATGTGCATTGTTATTGAGGCTGACTAAAAGAGGGATTCGTTGAGATTAATTGACAATATAGCATATAGATTGTGTATTTTATTGTTGATTTAGTGACTGTGTGTATTGTATATTTTGAATTTATTATACACTTTGGTCAGCTGAGTTTGTTTTAATTGTGTTATCGAAATAAACTGACTTGACTAATATAACTAACTCATAACTGATGTAGATGTTAAGGGGTTGAAGAAAGCTCACTGACGTAGTTTCAGTGACCATGCCAGTGGAAAGCATTCTTTCCACAGCGAGTCACGTTGTAGGTTTTGGTTTCGTCTCTCTAGTTCTCATGTTCGTGAAAGTTAAACAACTCAAGAGTGGGATTGTTAACAGTAAAACGCATTACTGATTTTTATCATAGAAATCTGAATTCATTTAAAGCCAAATCTGAAATCTGTTTTGAATCTAAATCTCTCTTCTTCCTTTTTTCACTGTAGACGAGGTAAACGAGATGATAGATCCCCTCGGCAGCCAAAACGAAGGTAAAGTGTTCGTTATAACTCCCTAGTGCTTTTTTTTTGTTGATGTTGTTATTTTTTTTAAAAGACCGTCCTTTTTAATTACTCTAGTCATTACAGTTCATAACATACCACCACACACATGCATACCTAGGGGGGCAGGTGCATTACCCATAGGCTGGTGAGTGGGCCTGCTACAGTGGCCCCATTCAAACTCTTGGGGGCACTGCAGATGGTGCGGTTGAGCCACTATGTCTGCTTGTGGGTCCTGGGGTGCATTGTTGTGGCTTCCCTCCCCCATTATCAAGTACATTTATGACAAAGACACAGGCATTCCTACACACTCTCGCTCTGTCTCTCACACACACACTGTAAGAGGATTGTTGATTTATATATCTGTGTATGTTCTAATTTGTGTGTTACAGGTGCTGTGTGTTTGTTTTTTTCTTCATCATACCCCCCTCCCCCTTCTTTGTAAAAAAATAATTTTTCCTTCCTGTCCTGCCTCATACATCATCATACTATACAACATATAAAGTAATAACTGAAGTAACACAAATATAAAATGAATAAGTAAACAGACAAAAGTTTCACATGAACAAGTAGAGCCTACAGAGATTCTGTATAGCTGTGTTTGCAAAAGCAAAATATGTTTGGCACCACAGTGCATTTAGATCATAATTCTGATTGCAAAAGCCGCCAGACAGGACGGGATTTTCTTTAAAGCCTTGTTGATTATACATTTCTTTTTTCCCATCTTCACAGGAAAAAGCCACCGGTGCAGTATGTCCGCTGTGAAATAGAGGGCTGCGGTACTGTTTTGGCCCACCCACGCTATCTACAGGTCTGCTGTCACCAGGGGAACTGAAATGGATCGATTACTCTGTGATGTTTGCCTTTTAACCAGTTTCATTTCTCCTCATCTCTCGATTTCAGCATCATATAAAGTACCAGCACTTGTTAAAAAAGAAGTACGTGTGTGATCACCCCTCATGTGGGCGCTTGTTTCGCCTGCAGAAGCAGCTGCTGCGCCACGCTAAACATCACACAGGTGATACAAAGATGTTTATACTCAATGCTGGTAACAATTTTCATTAGACTAGGAAAAAGATGTACCCACAAAGCAAAAAGATGTTTCATTTAAAACTCAATTACATTCTTTTTTTTTCCATACTTAGTGTTCTTGTCTTCTTCACATGTTTCTCTCAGATCAGAGGGACTACATCTGTGAGTATTGTGCTCGGGCCTTCAAGAGCTCCCATAATCTGGCTGTGCACAGGATGATCCACACAGGAGAGAAGCCAATACAGTGAGTTTATACATCTGATAATGTAACACAAGTAAACAAGGAAGAAATGAAATGAAAAACAAACAGTCACGTCTGAGTGTCTGACATAAGTTCCAGTAACAAAAGAAGGAAGCACGTCTTTTTCAAGAAAAATCTTGTATAACCCCACTGTGGGATCACATGTCTTAAAATTAGCTACAAGAATTTTTGGCAGACAAATGACATCAAGTGACATCAAAGTCATCTATGTCATAGCACTCGCTAGTATAAACACGTCACACAAGTGTTTGTATTACACATGCAGAATATACTGCTGACTCGTTTCAGTTGAATGAAAACGTTTCAACTCCTCTTTACAAACAATGTATCAGCGGATGGGAGAGGTTGGATTATTATTGTTTCTTATTAGATAATGATTTAATCATTAGTGCGATAGCTTTTTTTCAGCTGATCATCTTAGTGATACAGTATTCATTTATTTAAACGTCACTCAAAAGGATTTTAATTTCTCCCTAAGGCTCCCTGAAACCCTTTTTCTTTTCTCAGCAGGGAACAGAGTGCAAAGTTTACTGGTACAGTGTGGTAAATAAAATTCTAGGAAAATTATACTTTATTTAGTTTTTTATTTTGTAACGTTACACATTAGAGCCCAACTGATGTAGACGTTTTAAGAAGGGTATCAATGTTTGGTGATTTAAAACCACATTGTACTGGCTGATATTTTTTCAGACACAAGATATAAACAGATTTTTGTAACATTTGTTATTGTCAGTTATTTGAGAGTCCTTAGTAAGATATAAGGGAAGGTGTAGAGTGGCCTCAGGTGGTGAAACTATGGTAAATGGCCTGTATTTATATAGCGCTTTACTAGTCCCTAAGGACCCCAAAGTGCTTTACATATCCAGTCATCCACCCATTCACACACTGGTGATGGCAAGCTACATTGTAGCCACAGCCGCCCTGGGGCACACTGACAGAGGCGAGGCTGCCGGACACTGGCGCCACCGGGCCCTCTGACCACCACCAGTAGGCAATGGGTGAAGTGTCTCGCCCAAGGACACAACGACGGAGACTGTCCAAGCCGGTGCTCGAACCGGCAACCTTCCGAGTACAAGGCGAACTCCCAACTCTTGAGCCACGATCGCCCCGGCTTGGTGAAACTATGCAACATCACTCACAGCATGGTTGAAGGTGTTCTTTCTTGTCTAATCTCTACTTCTTTAATTGTCTTTTATCGGTTGCTATAAACATGAGTATCGGTATGTTGGTCAATTTCACACATGATTTTTACCTTAAAGGTCATAGGTCAGGTTTGTATAAATTAGGGTTTATCTCGCATATTAAAAATGTTATGCATCCATCAAGGAGAATTTGGCCTCCCACCCAAAAACAAACAAACAAAAAATCAAATACAAATATAGGAATATATTAGAACAATTTTTAATTTTTCAAGTATGGTTCAATTGCTTAAACTTAAAATACATTTTGTTTAATCATATGGCCAAATGAACAAAAGAAATGTGTAGACCTGTGTTACTAAAGTTGCTTAACTCTGTCTTGGTTTTTTGCTGAGTCATTCCCAAAAGGAAGCACTCTTTATAAGGCAGTGTCAATGACAGTAACAATCAAACATTATGATTGTGACATTTCTTGTTTTTACATATTTTGCTGATACAAAATGTTGATCTTAAATGCTGATTTTTTTTAAATTGTAATAAAATCCATGCCTTTAAAAAAGTGAACTGCTCTTCCTGTTCCACACAATAGTCCACATCCCAGCAAATAAATGACCTGTTTAACTTAATTCTCCAAAAAGAAATCTTTTCAGAAATTCAGAAGTACAACAAACTTTTCTTCTTGCTCATTCTCTGCAAGAGAAATCGAGGTCTTGCACACATTTCCATAAAGGTTCTCCAACCCTGTTCCAACAATACTTGTTTATACTTAAATTTGACATCTTTCCAGTGGAAGGTCTGAAATATTTTTCCTATTCACTCTGCAACATTTGGTCAGTGAGGGAATGTACTGGAATTTATTCTACTCTAATTTTAATTAAAATACATAAAACTTCTCTCACTGATTCAGGAAAAAAATCAACTAAAACTAAAGTGTCTTAAGTGAGGCTTGATCTCAGTGTGCGTTCAGACCTTAAGCTGTTTTTTGTCTCCATCTTGTGGCAGGTGTGAAATCTGCGGCTTCACCTGCCGTCAGAAGGCCTCCTTGAACTGGCACATGAAGAAGCATGACGCAGAAGCCTCCTACCAGTTCTCTTGCTCCATTTGTGGAAAAAAGTTTGAGAAAAAGGACTCTGTTGTTGCCCATAAAGCCAAGACCCACCCTGAGGTGCTCATAGCAGAAGCTTTAGCAGCCAACGGAGGAGAAGTAATAAGCACACCCACCCCAGTCCTCGAGACTCTTCCAGCAGTCATCCAGCCTGAGCAGCCTTCTGTCAGCCAGCAGAGTTGCTCAGTAATAAGCACTACCACCCCGGTCCTCGAGACAACTCCACTACTCACTAAGCCTGTGCAGCCGTCTGTTAGCCAGCAGAGCCACAAGGACCAAAAGAGTCAGGAGAGCCAGGAAGCGGCAAGCAGTGGGCTCACTCCACTGCAGCAGGTGGTGCTCCCAGTTGCTCCACAGTCTGAACAGGATGTATCTCAAGGACAGTTTCTCCAACTGCCCCGCATGGTGCAAGTTTCACATCAGCAGCAGGGCCCAACCTTGATGCACTTCTCCAGCACCAGCTACCCTCAGCTCATCCAGCTCTCCACTCTTCCAGTTAGTGCAGTCACATCCGTGGCTTGTGTGGAACCCCAGAGCACACTCCTCACCCTGAGCTCCGTCACCACCCTGGCCTCCACAGCATCTGTGGCTCCCCAGCAGGCCGTGCACTGGGGGAGGGAGGGGGACGTGGATGCGCAAATTTGCGGAGAGGGTGATCTGTGGGAAAGGGTGGTGGTGGCAGGGGGCGGACAGGATGTAGGGGAAATGATGTGGGGGGGTAACGCGGAGAAGAGGAAGGAAAATGAAGGCACTGTTTGGGAGAGGGAGGGAGAGCGGATGTCACAGTGTGCAGATGTAGGTGGAGATAGTTTGATCTAGATGTAAAGAGGGCGAAATGAACTGAAGGGCGACTTTATGTTTATGAAGGAAACGCACATTTTATTCCAATAAAACACTGAAACACTTGAAATGCATACATGATGGATATTTAAAATAATAGAAGCTGTCTTTGTGATCTATATACAGTCACTTTCAGTACAGAGCTACTTTGTATCAGGGAGTTGTTGTTTTTTTAAATTAATACAATGGATTACATACTTTTTGACCACCTAATATTTTATAAATTTTGGAGTTTGTCATGTAATTTCGAGATCAAATGATTGTTGGTTATGCACAAGAAGATCACAGCTTATTTGTATTTCCCTGTAGTATTCCTGTTGTGTTGATGTGTGTCCTTTTGAATGGTGAACTAATGAGAATTACAAGGTGCAATTAATCCTCAAACTATAAAAAACAACCATACCTGATTTCAGTTTGGTTGCTTGTCCTTTTAAGGGCAAATCCTTACAAATCACTGTGAGGCTGAGCTTGGATCGCTCCTTGAAAGGCCCATTGTGACCATTTGTATTTGGAGAGTCTCAGGCATGGGGTTTGGACATTCATGGAGTTGTGCACCATAAATTCTTCCTACATGGGAAAAAAAGAAATAATCTGGAGGCATCTGAGGGAAAATATTCAGCTTAAACGACCTGAATAATACAGTCGTCACTCACCACCTTCATCTTTTTCTCATTTTAACACTATCTCGATACATAAATGCACAAGTTCAAGTGGTCTGAACAGGACTTCCAGGGACTGATGTCAAAGTGACAGGACCCCAGGAAGAGACCCGGCACTTCATAAGGATCTGATGAGGCTGATGTCAAAGCCAGCACATTTCGATTCCACCTTGTACTGATGTAACTGAGTTCAAATCTGTTAACATATGTCTCACTCCAGTCCTCGTGAGTTGAAATAGTAGGACAGTGGGTTATAAACACAAGGCCAGAATCGGCCTGGGAAAGACTCCGGTGTAGCTTTGGAAAATGTGAAGGAGTGCTTAGATTTGTAACTATTAACTCTTTCATCAGGTAAACAGCTGTTCCTATTAACAAAAATATCCCTCATTGCCATTCATTCTACACCAAAGTAAGTAAGTAATAGAATTTTTTTTTACATTTCACAGTAAAAAAGTAAAAAGACTGGTGGAGTTTCCCTGATCTTGTTATTTGAGATCAAAGTGAACTGTATGTGGTCCACAATGTAAGCTGATGCTGTAGTGTATAAATGTTTCTGTTCTAGTGGCCCAGCCACTGTGACAGAGAGTTAGCGTGAACAACTCTGAAAACCACCTACGTTTGTTCTTCTCTTGCTCCTCTTTCTTCTCATATGTTGCAGTTTGTAAAGAAAAGATTTAAGTTGCTTTCTGTGCTTCATTATATTTCAGTAAACCAGGAGCATCACACTTGGGAAATAAACTGTTTTTCCAAATCTTCACGTTCTTCACAGGCAGCAGTATCATGTTAGGAAAATATGTTCCCTCTGAAATTAATTTGATAATTTTTGTGTGGTTTTATCAGACCACTGTAATATGATACAAATTATATAAACCTCTGTATGTTGCTAATATTAAACATACAAGATAAGTTCAGAATGTGTTCAGAATAATTATTAAAAATAAATCTGTTCTCAACTCTTTATGTGTCACATGTCATTGATGTGATATACTTCACATTTCTTTCTTCTCCTTAGCCTCTCTTGTCTGGCAGTCTTTGCAGAAGTGTGATCTTAATGCACTGTTTTGTGATATTTACATGACAAAATTGTAATATAAATATGGCACTTTAAAGCACTAATTCAACCTCTGGACAGTTGGGCTCTAATGCGCCTGGTCTTTAAAGGAATAAAATGCAAATGAGAATCAAGTTGTATATAGAAAGATAGTATAAATACAAAACTAGGAAAGATTGCTAAGAGTCTGTGTTGCTAGGTTGCTCAGGGATCGGGCACACTTTTGAAGTGCAGCCACAACTTCCTGATTGGATTGAGAACCAGGCTAGAAAATATATCTTCTCTCCAGTCGTAGTTCTCCTGTGGATATAGAGTATCCTCCAGGATCTGACCAAAGAACCCTCTTCCAATTAACTTCAGAGTCTCCGACATCCCTTTGAATGAATTCCAGGCAAGATTTCATGCAAGCTTTTTTCAGTTTTCTCTTTATCACTCTCCCATCCTGGCAGACAGTTCTAATATGTACACTCTTTCCCATCAGATCCACTGAAGCTCTTTCAGTGTGTCACAGGTGTATTGGTGGCCTCTCTTATTTAGTTTGTGAGTGATGGCCAGATCTATGCAGCTTTAGACTAAGTGATATACTTCTTCCATTTCTTAAAGATGGATTTAACTGAACTCTGTGGGATGTCCAGTGAACTGGAAATCTTTTTGCAGCCATCTCTTGACTTCTGTGAGTTGCTTGGAGTCAATTGTAGCAGGAATACTGATGAACCAGAGACAAAATGTTTTCACTACATGTCAAGCCAAAGTAAACTTTATTGTCATCTCTGCTATATACAGTTCAGTATATAGAGAGACGAGATGACGAGGCTCCATTTCCATACATTGCAAAAGAACAACAATAAATATAGCAAGAGTAAGAATAAGAAGAATAAATATATATACACTTTGAGACTGAGGTAAGGGGAGCAAATATACACTTTGGGGTAAAGGGGTTAATAACAGTCTAAAATTTACAATTGAGATTTAAAGTGACTTTGAAGTGGTTTAAAATGACCAACATAGCAACTTTACGGTTTACAGTGTGAATACACATCAACTGTAGTCAGGTGGTCACCGTTTCACTAATTGTGACACTTCTGGAATCAATTAGATGTACCTCTGTTGAATTGATTGTTAATTTAAAAGATTCTCAAAGTCAGAATTTCTTCCCCACTTTAAGGCACTCCTTCTTGGTATGGCTTCTTCCTTGCTAGTGCTTCCCCTGGTGGACACATTGTGCAATACATTTTATTTATGTTCATTTTCATTTCTGTTTTAACAAATAATTTTATGCATTGATACCTAGAGACTAGCAGAGTAGAGCATTGGCTTAGCATATTATAGTGAAAACTTGGGGTGTTCTTTTTATGATAATTTCTAACTGCTTAAGTATATTCTTCTGACTCTATTGGAGTAGTTTTTTGCTCAGAGGTATGAGCTGTCACACAGGTCAGAAATCTTTAAATCATCCATCCAGGTGGTCGTAGGAATAGGAATATCTATATTTTAAAGGGTTTTGCTCATTAGCAAATGTATTCAAGCACTTTGCAACTTGTCCTTTTAATGTGTGCCTTTCTCTTGTTTTGTATATATTACTCTTGTTTGTTATTTATTCGTGTTGTCTTACTATTTATATGTCCTGTACAGTTTGTGTGGAGTACCCACAATGTTGTTGTACATGTACAATGACGATAAAGAGCTATTCTATTCTATTCTATTCTATTCTATTCTATTCTATTCTATTCTGCATATTTCTGGCTTTCTTCTGATCTCTGTCAGATTAGTTTTGAATGAATTTTCATTTGAAAAATAAAATGAAATAAAATAAATAATTTACTTACACTGGGTCTTAGGTCAACCTCTCAGTTAACTTAGAGCCTGAAATTAGCGTTCTTTCCTTTTAAGGCCCACTCCCTTTAAGCCAACGTTCTCCTGATAGGCTATCCCTTACAAACAGAAGGTTTCAATACTAGGTGGGTGGGGCCTCTGTGCTCACAGCCAAAGCTGTGTGTCTCAGATATTAGATGTTAGGCATATCCACTCTTTTTGACATCATACTGTGTTTAGTGCAGTCTGTAGCCAGAGATTTTCATACCCTGACTTCATTGTTTAACTCTGGTTGTGTTTAATATGTTCATCAACCACCGTCACAGTGAAAGAAAATGGGAAATAGGTGCAGCGATTTATTGAAATATCCAAATGTGCATGGTAATACAGCATATACAGCTAGGTCAATATATATTTGGACACTGCCTCAAGTTTTGTTTTGTTTTGTTATCTGTTTACTGAAACATATTCCAATTATAATTCTATGATGGACATGGACATATTGTGTAGAATGTCAGCTTTCATTTGAATTGGATGAAGGGTTTAGAAGTTTCAGCTCCTTAACATGTGCCACCCTCTTTCGAAAGGGACCAAAAGTAAGTGGACATTGACTCAAAGGCTATTTAATGGGCAGGTGTGGGCAAATCCTTCATTATGTCATTATCAATTAGGCAGATAAAAGGCCTGGACTTGATCTGAGGTGACTGTGTAGTGTTTGCATTTCGAAGATTGTCCAACATGCAGTCAAAGGAGCTCTCCGTGCAAGTAAAACAAGACATCCTTAAGCTGTGAAAACAGAAAAAGTAAACAAAAACATGTGTTAAAACTGTGTTATCTTTGGCATTTTTTGTCACTTCAAGAAATTAGGGGAAATTTTGCAATTTAAAACTGGTCCTCTGCTAAGTTTTCTGTCACGTGTAGACACAACACTGGTTCATCCCTTTGAGTTAGGTGCGTTTATATGGTTGAATGATTAATAGGTCGGTGTAAATGGTTGAAAAAGCAAAAAACATTCCTCTGAAAATGGTCAGGCACAAGGACACAGCAGCTAATGTCCAAAGAAAAACTTTGACAGACCTACAGAAACCCTAAAAAACTATTATTTAAGACCACTTCAAAAATAAATCACAAGAAGTAAAATATAAAGAAATGAAGGGTAGCGCTAGACTTTTTGCACAAAGCTGTGTGTAGACACAAAATAAGGAAAATAAAATGGGTCCACGTTAAACATTAATTGAGATATACTTTCCCACACATCTCCAGCGCATTGCAAAATTAATTGTTAGCCTTGGCCTTTTAATAAAAACTATAAAAAATTAAACAAGCAATGCATTGAACAAAAATAAACTTGTTCTCTTTTTTTACTTATACAATAAACCTATGTAGTTTTCCATCGTTGTTTACAGCTGCTGGAGAGAAGGGGGGGGAAAGCTATTCCAATAAACAGAGTTTTTATTATGCGTGGAAGGGTGGGTGGGCCGCATGGTGACGTTTTCTGTACACCCCACCACACACACGCGCACATCGTGGCTGGCGGAACCAATTACATCCCCTCTTGTTGGTGTACATGCCAAATGAGCACCCGCACAATCGGGCTCCACTGGCTGTCCCCCCGCGTGCATCTCCGGCTCGTGTTCGGACCGCAAAAGTATCCAGAAACAGCCACACGGCGTAGTTTCGCTGCCAGAGGGGAGGGGGACTGTTTCTGCTCCTGTCGGTCGGTCTGCGCCCCGCTCGCTGCTAGCCCACCTTTGACATAAACACGGCTGAGAGCAAATGGCAGAGCAGGAGGAGCAGCCGATAGCTGGCCGGTCGCTGACGGGACAAGCGGTGGCTCTTGCCCGGCTACTGCACCATGAGTGTACCAGTCTGCTCCGGCTATACGTGAGTGATCAGAGTAGCCACTCTTTCTGCTTAGCTCATGCGGGTCATTCTGTCTGGGACGCTCCCCTCCCAGTTATTTGGAGCTTTCTTTAAAGCCGTAGTGTTTCAGTATCCAGGCAGCTTGCTACCTGTCGCTTTTGGACTGTGTCTGTCTTTCACAGCAGGATTTAACGCTGACTAGTTTGTTTTTGGAGCAGATACTGGAGGGAGGGGGGTAATTACACTAAAAAATACCCTCCACCCCCACCACTCAATTTCCCAAGGGGAACCTAATGGATAGATTGTATTGGATTTTTTTTTCCATCCTTTTAGAAAAGCTCTTAACCGATCAGTTTAATCAATGGTTATCTCTTGGTCCCTGAAATAGACTTATACTAAAATGAGATTAAAGGGTGCAAGGTAAGTGACCTGTTTGCATCGGAGTGGGACAAATTTATATTTATTTATCTTTTCAGACGGAGAGGGAGACCTTCCTGTCCAGCTACACCCCAGATGGGAAGCGCCTCGTGTCCGCGTCCCCAGAATCTGAGGAGCCCAGCACGGAGGAGCAGGTGCACTTGCTGCACTCTGCTCTGCGACAGTGCCTCGGGCTGCTCCACCGTGTCATCCAGAAGGAAGAGGAGGAGTGGGGCAAGCTGGAGGATGAGTACGAGTCCATGAGGAAGAACGTGCGAGCCCGACTGGAACACTTGCTCTACAGCACCAAAGGTTTGGTGGAGACTGACGGCACCAACCTGGAGGTTACCCCTGATAATCAGTGTAATGAGGTAAATGAGGTGCCGTTTCGGGGGTTTTGTAGTTAGTCATGTCCTTGTGGCCTTTCCTCTATTATGGTGACACTCACAACTGTCCACAGCCCATAACACATTAAAAGTGGCGGTGGGCAATACGGCCTCAAAATATATCACAATATTTCAAGAACGTTTGGGAGATTTCTGACAATCTAGGGGAAAATGCCGAAGAACGTTTTATTGATACTTGCAACCTAGCAGCATTTTTCACCCTTTTCCAGTGAGCTGACACACTTCCTTATTGTGAAGTGTGAATCTATGGAAACAGGTGCCAGCAGCAGTTGCATTATAGTGCAATAGCAGTGACGAAGGACAGGAAAATGTGAGCTCAGAAGTAGCTTAGGTAGAGTTTTCCCCGGAAATTTTAACTAATGTATAAAATAACTTCTTCACACTGAGATCCAGTGTGAACCCTCTGCT